CAAAAAAAAAAAAAAAAAAAAAAAAACCTCTTGTTCTTGAAAAAAAATGGACTCTTCATCCGCATGTTGTGGAAATAACATTGTCGATAACGAACGTGGTCATATATGTAAGAGCTTTCAGGAAAGATGATTATCGTTCCTACTTGTGTTAGGATTAGGTTTTTATTTTTATGGGTGAGAAATCTAATTGACACACTATATAAGTAAGGTCCCCTCAATAGTAATTACATTGTTTTTTTTTTTTGGTCAGAATAATTACATTGTTTGATGATATCCTTATTGTAGCCATGTATACTGGACAGTGAAGATTATTCTAGATGTCCGACAAGTTAGTGTTTTAGTTAATGCAATCCAATTCTAATGTGCTATTTATTTACCATTGTTTGATGGCAGCTCTTGTTTATTTCCCTTTTTTTATTTTGAAGCAAAAAATCAAGAATATAAAGACAATAGTTATTAGAATTGGACTTTTAATTGGATTGAAGTACCCAAAAAACCAATCCATGGATTGGCGGCCCAAAAGGCAAAAGGGCATATAAAGGTAAAATAAACAAAATCTTTAATTGTCATTCATGTACTAGCAAACAAGGAAAACCAAATCATCACAAGGACAGGAATCTTCTTCGCAAGCAACAACTATTCAGCCCTAGACCTTCTGAAAGTGAAATTAGCGATTGTGGCATTTGCACCACCGTCTCTCTCTCTCTCTCTCTCTAAATATTGTTATATCAATGTCATGTTTCAAGCAGAAAGCTTTCCTCCACAGTAATATTTAGAGAATCTGAGAACCACCACAATTCTATTGTAGCTCCAACGTTTCGTACCTTTTTTTCAGCTTCACGTTGCCCTTCTGAACATTACTGCGTACAGAGGTATCTCTATCTTTTATCTCTCTCTGGATTCATTATAAAAATATTCTTTTTATTATATTTTTATGTACTTGAATCCATAAATCCAATGCCTTTTCAATTACCCAGATCCTGAAAGAGAGGGTAAAGTGAGTTTATTATGTTATCTTATTTGGGTGTTGTTGATTATATTAGTTGTTTTGGATTTTGCTCTGTTTTTCTGCACTTTTTACGTGATATTGCTTGATGGTTCTCGTGATTTTTTGTTTGGTTATATGGATGCACACGTAAACAGCTGCGTATAAAGTTTTCTTTTTTTGTTGGCTTGGTTTTTATATGTTGTTATCCTTGTTTGTATGATTTATGAACGTATGCTTTTGTTCTCTGATTAAGGTATGAATAATGATTTGTTATTCCCATCCTCTCAATTTTCATGTATGCCTCCAGTATCTTTCTTTTATTCTTATGTATCTCCTCTGAATTTTACTGGTGTGGCTCTATACAACGTTTTTTTGGGTCTTCAGCCAATTAGATTTTAGTTTTTTTATAAGAATAAATGTTTGTCATCAATTGGATCATGGTGATTGATATGAGGGCACTACCTGAAATGCTTCTAAGGAGGATGCTGAAGAGTAGTTAAAGAAATGCAAGATACGATTTCCAGTAGTATTATTCCTTCGGTTCTTTGTGTTTCTGCCTTTGGGGTCACATATGTTTTGATATGCCCTCTTTGCATTTTGGTGTCAGGGCAAAGTTTTAGGATTGAGGTGCCCTATTTCTAGGAGCTTTTCTTAATCTTATCTAACCTGTAATTATGATTGTTGGGAAGATACAAATGTACAAGAGGTAGGTCGAAATTGGGTATCTGAAGGATGGTTGGACAAATATAGGATTGGGCAGAAGTACATTATAATATTTTTTTTCTGTAATTGGAATATTCTGTTGGGCTGTTATACAAATGATCTAGTTAGGGAGGTGACATGAGAAAACACGTTTATTCATGTGCTCTCTTTGAGTTCCATGACAGCCAATCAAATGCTTATAGATGTGCTTGTTTTTTTTCAATCTTTGTTATTTGCCATCTTGTATTCATTCAGTCAGTTTCATGTTGTCATTTTCCCACTATTATTGCTCTCAAGCTTGGTTTTTAATTTTCTTCTGATTTTTATGTGATTTTTGTGGTTATATCTGACATAAAAATTTGCCAGCATTCGCCTAAAAAATCTGAATAACGCCTCATCTCTTATAATTTATTGTTGCTTTTCAGATGGAAGTGCACAATTCTGGGCATGTGCATGTAATTGAAGTATCTGGAGATGTGCCAGCTATAGAGACAAGCCTGGGTGTGAGAAAGATTTGCGGGGAAGGACCGTGTGGATTTTCAGATGCTAAAACCAGTTCCAAAGATGCACAGGAACGGTCCGCATCCATGCGGAAGCTTTTGATAGCAGTTATACTTTGTGTTATTTTCATGAGTGTGGAAGTTGTTGGGGGTATTAAATCCAACAGTCTTGCAATTCTGACTGATGCTGCTCATCTATTGTCAGATGTTGCAGCATTTGCAATATCTCTGTTTTCTCTTTGGGCATCGGGATGGGAGGCAACTCCTCGTCAGTCGTATGGCTTCTTCAGGATTGAAATCCTAGGTGCTCTTGTTTCCATCCAGATGATTTGGCTTCTTGCTGGGATCCTTGTTTATGAAGCCATTAATAGACTTGTCAACGAGACTGGTGAAGTTCAGGGCTTTCTCATGTTTGTTGTTTCTGCATTTGGTTTAGTGGTTAACATTGCCATGGCATTCTTATTGGGTCATGATCATGGGCATGATCATGGACATGGACATGGACATGGACATGGTCATGGACACGGCGATCATCATCACAGTAACGGGGATCATGATGATACACATAGCCATGGGATTACTGTGATGACACACTCTCATCATCATGTGGTGCACTCCAATCATGATCACACGGAACCTCTGCTCAAGCCTGGCTGTGAAGGCGAAAAGAAACCAGAAGTTGAAAAGACGAAGCAACAAAATATCAACGTGCAGGGGGCTTATCTTCATGTACTTGGGGATTCCATTCAGAGTATTGGAGTGATGATTGGTGGAGGAATTATATGGTACAAGCCTGAGTGGAAGATTATTGATCTGATATGCACCCTTGTATTTTCGTTGATTGTGCTGGGGACAACAATCAGGATGCTGTGAAACATTTTGGAGGTTCTGATGGAGAGCACTCCTAGAGAGATTGATGCCACAAAGCTTGAGAAAGGCCTCTGTGAGATGGATGAGGTAGTTGCCATTCACGAACTCCACATATGGGCCATAACTGTTGGCAAGGTGTTAATGGCTTGCCATGTTATCGTGAAGCCGGATGCTAATGCTGACATGGTACTTGAAAAGGTTATAGACTATATCAAGAGAGAATATAATATCAGTCATATAACCATTCAGATAGAGCGTCAGTAGATTTGGAGGGAGATAATCTTTCATAGCTTGAGTGTTGGAATTAGGTGGGTTAGGCATTTTTAAGACTTAAATTCTTTTCCACAGTTGATAGATCGTATCTACTGTCTCTTTGGTTTGCTAAAAAAATACTTTTATTTTGAAGGGATTACAATTTAGTACATATCTCTGTGCACAAAATACTTGTGTCTGCAATCTGCTGCATTTTATGATGAAAAGAATTACAAGCAATTGAAATGAAAAGAAGAGTAATTATACAAAAATAAAACACATCCAACTGGATATTACACGTTTTTAAATAGCTCGACGACTGAAAAAGTAAAAGCAGAACATGCAACTCGAATGTTTGAAAACCCTGCTTCTTTTGCCAAACTTTCTAATTCTTTCTCTATTCTCTCCTTTCCCATCACATTAGTGTTCATCATCAGGTACACATCAAACCGAAACAAACTTCTAGCAGAAAGACTAGTTTCAGGGGCTTCTGGTATCACCATATCCAGCACTATCACTTTCCCATGGTTTGGCAAGGCCTCATAGCAATTCTTCAGTATCATCAAGCAATGTTTGTCATCCCAGCTATGTAGCATCCACTGTTTTTAAAATCATTAACATTAGTTGCAAGTTACGATAGCAGACTTTTCGTAGGAAATCAAAAAATCTTTTGAGTACTTTGAAGAATTTGGATAATTCTAACAAACCTAACCTTCATGAAAATGGCATCTCCTTTCGGAATCCTTACGAACATATCTCCTGCAATGTGCTCTATACCTGAACGCAAAACAACTCCATAAGTCAACAAAGCAGAGTGAAGTAAATAGTGATACACTAAATTGTCTGATGGGAAGCAAGAATCTGATATCGTACCAGGATAGGAGGGAGACTTTTCTACAACATAAGGCAAATCATAGTTGAAACCCTTGATAGCAGGGTACATGGAGATTATCATGTTAAGGATAGTACCATCACCACCACCCACATCTACCAGTGTTTTTAGACCTACAAAACCCTTATAAGTCTCCAAAATCTTCTTCATAAAAATGGGGTTGAACTCTTTCATTGAGTCCTTGAACACTCCACCAAGTCTTTCATCCTTCCCAACGTACTCCACCATATTCATTCCAT